GGGCTCCGGCCCGCGGCGCCTCCGGCCACGTCCAGACAAACGCGCCGAGACACTATCTCGCTGCTGCCATCTGTGAAACAGAGAGAGCGCAGCGCCACATTCCAACTGCTCCCTACGCAGACATTTCCTCAGATCAAAGACAGTTTTCACCACGGCGTCTTAATCAGAGGGAAACGTTACAGGCAGGGCCCGCCCCGCCCCCAACGCAACCCCCGCCCCCCACTTCACTGAAGGAAAGTGCTGTGAGTTTTTTACCAGAAAAGTTGATTCTGAAACATGGAAGAGAAGGTGAACGGTTCACTCTGAGTGGTGTGAATGAAAGTGTGAATGAAAGTGTGAACGGTCTCTTCATGTGGCCTTTGACCAGTCAAGGTTGACCCCCACCCTCACCCTATTCTCTCACCCCCCCGTGACCTTGAAACGTAATAAGCAGTATATAAAACCTTTGTAATTATCAACAGTTAAAGACAGCTCAGAAATATTAGTAACAACATTCGCAAAAGTACGTGTTTATGTTTAAAAAAAATTAGCAAAAGATTAAGAATTCTTGGCAAAAATGTCACAAAACTGCTGGAAGTTAACGGAAAATGTACAATAAGTTAGTCCACTGGTCTAAAATAAGCCAGACATCGACCGAAATTTAGCCCAAATAAAAATCAAAGTGAGATAAGAAAAAACAGAAAGCAGTTAAAAGAGAGAAAATAAATTTCTTAAAGTGAGAAAAATTGCCAAAATGAGCATAAAGAGGAATGAAAACTGTCTGAAAAAATAACTAAAAGTTATGGGTTGGATGAGTTTGGCCGACGCGATGTGTTTTGGTGTGAAATAAAGTTGAAAAAACAAAAACGAAGAAGCAGAGAAACTTCTTTCAGACCAGGCCGTAGATGAACTCATTTCCTCCTCCGTCTCATAATTGGCTCAGAGGCCAAAGAAAGTTCATAATGACGGCCTCCGGCACAAAGGCCGTCCCCTGAGCACATGGGGAAATCCACACATCATCCAGACGTTAAGAGGCTGAGACGATTAGACTGAATTAGCCCCTGCACTCCACCGTGGCCCCCAGTGGACACGTCCACTGTGACAAAGGAGCCCGGGAAGAGGAGGGGGGGGGGGTCTGAGGAAGGACAGTCAAAGACCTGGGCCACGGTCTCTGTCTCAGATTGACCTTGAGAAAGGAGAAGGGGAAGTGGAACAGCCCAATTACAACCTCCGCCCTCCGTCTCCTGGTCCCCCACCGACCACATCGGTTCCTCAGTTTAATGAACGAGCCGAGGCCGGGGCCAATAATGAGCACCGAGGAGCGGCGTCCACACACACACACACACACACACAAACTAAAACGTTCGGGAACATATCTGTAATTAACCCAAAGGGGCCGAGAGACGATTTTAACAGCTTTCGCTGTGTCCAAGTGCGAGACAATGTCTCTGGCTGATGTCATAGGTCAGCGAGAAAAGATCAGGATAGAAAAACTGTAAAACGTTAGCCAAATACATGCTAAAACGTACTGAAAAACATGAGGTGAAAGTAGCTAAAAGTGACTCAGGAGCTAAAGGCTACTTTAGGCTAGCAAAAAGATCGGGATTTTAATAAGAAAAAAAAACGTAAATGTAATTAAAATTTAAGGTTTAAGTGATCTTTTAGCATTTTATTTTTAGCTAAAGTACCTTCAAGCTACAGTAGATGGATAGCTAAAGTTAGCATCGATCAAATTTAAGTAAAAGTCTGAAAAAAATACCAAAAACTAAAAGAAAAAGAGACAAAACTTGTAACTAAAACTAAGCACTAAAAACTGTTGATGCCAAATTTGGGCCCCAAGCCAGATGTTGGACATCAGATCAAAAGATGTCGTGTGTTTCCACAGTTGTGTTGTTTTGACGTTCACCTCCATGTGAGGAGTGTGTTTCTGCACGTCTGCCGTCACGCCGCAGTTCTCACTTCCTCCACACCTCACGGGCCAAACTGAGGGCAAGTGTCAGCATTAACACAGGTGTGTGTGTGAGTGTGTGTGTGTGTGTGTGTGTGTGTTCACGATAAGCCGTGTCATGTGCTTGAAAGCCACCATGGCACCGCTCATTTGCACACATCACAACACGACGACAGCAGAGTGACGCTCGCTTTGATGTCAACATGAACGTACACACACACACTTATCTTTTTATGCCCGCACACACACACACACACACTTTTCTCGGTTATCGTAATGGAAGAGACCACGTGAAAACACCACGACGCAGAAATATTCTTCCGTTGTGTGTATTTTTCCACACCTGACATTTTTACTGTGACACGTGATAAAGTCTGTCCCTTCGTTTGAAAAAGTTACAGGACAGTTAGCTACGTTGTTGGCTAAGCTAACATACGCCTGTGCTAACTAATGTTTCTAATATTAGGTTTCAATCTATGTTGGCTAAGCTAACGTACGCCTGTTAATGTTTCTAATATTAGGTTTCAATCTGAATATTTGTCTTGATTGTTTTATCTAGACTTGGCTGTTAGTCATTCATGGCTAACGTTTAACTGTCGTCTAGACTTGGTTAGTATTTTTCTAACCATAAGTCATTCATGGCTAACGTTTAACTGTCCCCTCGATGAACCTTTGGCTATTTTTTCTTTGCTAACTTTGCGCTAGCCACTTTCGCTTCTAACTTTTTATCCTTTAGCTATTTTTGTATAATTTTGATACCTCTTTTTTTTAATTGTGCTTTGGCTAATTTACTCTTTATTACACGATGATGTCACCTATTTCTGGACTAGCACATTTTCAGCTAGCTTTAGCTATTAGCAATTTTGGAAATCTATGATTTAATATCTCGGTACATCCTGCTGTAATATTCTAGATCTTTCTCTGACTCTGAAGTTATCTTTAAACTTCCAGACAGGCTAATGAATACGTTTATGGCAGAGATGTTTCCACAGCCACGTATTCAATTTCATTCACGAATTTTTTTTTCCCCTCCACACGTCTGTTTGAACAGAGCCAGACTCCACGGTCCGGCTGCAGTGACACTGATGAACCCTGTCATTCCTGGGCTGCGGCTCTTTGCGCCGACCTTGGCTAAATGCCTCCACTTTGCCTCGTTTTCCCAATTAACTTAGCGAATAAGAAGAAAGCGGCAGTGGCAGCCTGGCATCGCTGGGAATGGAAAGAAGACGGGGAAGTGGAGAGGACAGACATGTGGACCGGGGTGGGGACCGTGGTGGCACGAGGAACAAAGACACGTGGTGTATGTCTGTGAAAGAGGAGGCGAAATGTTTTGACAAGAGGGGAAAAAAAAAATGTTTTTACAGAGAAATCCCATTGGTCTCCACCTGCTGGTTCAAGACACAATGCAAAATTTATAAAATCAAGACTCTACGACAAAGGTCAAAGGTCAGGTCAGCTAAAAGTTAGCAAAAAAAAATACATCTAGTGAAAGGACAACCAAAGAATATTGAAACATTAAATTATTAATAACCTTAGGTTATACCCAGGTAATTGAGTTTACCTAAAAGTAGAAAAAATATATGGCTAGAACTAGCTAAGGGCTAGTATAGCTAAGAAAGTATAGAAACAACAAAGAAAATAGCTTAACATAAAAAAGTTACTAAAGGTTAGCCAAGCAGCCGAAACATTAACAAATTTGTAAGATATCCAAAATGATACCAAAATACTGAAAGTCCCGAATAATTGCTGTGTAGCTGAAGCGATACTTAAGAGGGTTAGCCAAGAGATAGCTAAATGTCAGTTGAAAATGTAGCTAAATATAGGAGCCGGGATCGTTAAAAGCTTTACAAGAATCAGTCAACAATAACACGAGTGCACAGGTAGCTAAAAGTTAGCTGAGAACGAGGAGCGCCGAGGCAGGCTGGTGGAGGAGCTCAGGGACTACAGTAAAGGAGGAGGTCTCTGGGGGAGAACCAGAACCAGGTGTGAGGGGATTTGAGGAGGACAGCGGGGAGACGGATGGTCCTGAAGAAGCAGCGGAGAGAGAAAAATCACCAGGAGGGGTCGGATCCTGAGAGTCCAGCCGTGATGGTCTTAGCATCTGCCAGAGTGCATTAATCAACGGGAGGAGAGGAAGTAATCCCACGTCCAGCAGGGTGTGCTGGAATGTGTGTTCCCGCTGCATCCACGCCGTGTCCTTATGGGGACATTTTGCAGGTCCCCACCGCAGACAAAAACCAAAGCAGTGTGTGTGTGTGTGTGTCTGAGGAGCATGGTCGCACGGACGACCATCGTCAGGAGAGAGTCGAGATCCGACGTCCCTCTGTCGGCTGATTTACTCCTGGAGGTGTCCCGCAAACATGGCACCAGAAACAAACACGACTTTGGTCATACGGAAGCCATTTCCTTCCCCTCTCTCTCTCTCTCTCTCTCTCTCTCTCTGTCAGCGCTTCTTCAGACGCTGCATGTTTACACGACGAGGTCTGCGGATTTTTAAAACCATCGTCTCGTTTCACCGGACGCACGTGCGCTGGCCAAGTGTAAATATGAAGTTTTTTGAGGTTTCAAGGAAGTGTGTGTGTGTGTGTGTGTGTGTGTGTGTGCGTTCATGTAAACAGGCCTTGAAACGTTGTTGGAACCAAGGTTATATCAACAGTAGTAACTTCTAACTTTCTGTTATTTGCAGTAGAAACACACATTTATGGCCAACGCCGACGACTTCATCGCGGACAGAAGCTATCATTGTGGTGCGGCGGCAGCCGGAGCGGGTGGTATTGACACAGCGGCGCTGCTAAAACAGGAACTGCGCCTTTTTTTTTTTTTTTTTTTTTTTTTAACAAAAACCTCTTCAGCCGAAGGGGCAAATGCGCGGGGCGGGAAAGAAAGCCTTTTTTTTTTTTTTTTTTTTTTACAAAAAACCTCTCTAGCCGAAGCGTGAAATGGCCGTGCATGGAATGAAAGAGAGAAAATCTGGATCGGTTCTGAAACGTCGCGCCGGAGCGCGGGAGTCGGTTCCAAATTCAATACCGCAGCAACTGTGGATGTTTCACAGACCATCATAGTTTAATCTGCCGCTGTCGCGCTGCCCGAGGAGAAAGCCGAGAGTCGATGTTAATGAGATTTAAACCCGTGGTTGTGTTTGAAACATTATCATATAAAACAGTGAGGCCTGTGAGCAGCTGGACAGACGGACAGAGGGACAGACGGACAGAGGGACAGACGGACAGACGGACAGAGGGACAGAGGGACAGACTGTCTCCTCCAGTCTTGATGAGCTTTTAACTCACTTTACACCAGAGGTGTTCAACGGGAGGTTGGTGGTCCTTAAGAGGACCGGGGGGGGGGGGGGGGGGGTATTGTTTGTTTGACCTCTGAGTCTCTGACGGGGTTGAGGGATTGGAACTCAAACTCTTGGCCTGTCGGTCCAAAGTGGCGCACTTCTGACCGCCCACAACTAGGTGTCAGTATAATGTGATCTGACCACCTGCTGTTGGTTTTTGGCGGGACTAAAGTGACCCCCGGGTCATTTTGGTTCGATGCCCCTGCTGTTCTGGATTTATGGTCAAATGTAAGTTGCTGTTCTGGATTTATGGTCAAATGTATAAATATTTTTAAATTGTCTTTGTACTTTTTGGGTTTAGGGTTTGGCAGCTTTGACACTTTTTCTCTAATGTTCAGATCAGACATGTAGAGACTGGAGGATTTGCGGCTCGACTGTAGATTGATGGGTGACGGTGTGCGCTGCTATGGCGATGGTTTCTACCAGACGGATTTGCAGGATTAGAAACCGGGCCAAACCCTCATGGACCAGTTCCTTCTCACGCAAGGTTTTGGATGACACCGGCATCTGTCACATGTCAGGTGCTCCGCGGATTGATGTTGACAGCATCAAGCCAACCCACTACCCTCACCAACCTTCTCACCTCCGTATCACACCTGATAGTCGACTCCCCCGCACTCCCCCTTCTACCCACATTCTCCACCGAGCCGTGGCACAAGTCTGCCGCCGTCTCTGAAAACCAAAACCGGAGAGAAGGGAGAGAGGGGTTCCTGACAGCAGATACTGCAGCACTTTAAAGCTCCAAACCCTTTCAATGAGATCAAAGACTCATGGGAACCGAGTCAAAAAGAGCAAAGGACAGGAAAGAGAGACGGGGGACGGGGGGACAGGGGGACGGGTGGTGGAAGGGGGAGGACAGTAGATACAGTCAGATTTGGTAATGATTCCATGGTCTTCATCAAATTTATGTCACTAAAGAACGTAACAAAGACTTCCATTCACGTCTTTAGATGAATTACGATAATTACAGGGATCCTTCGACAGCACACGTTCAAATTCTGCTCCGACCGACT